GTGAGTTCGAAGCTCGAGTGCAGCAGCACTTGGGTCTGGGTATGACTGGCTGAGCTGGCTGGCTAATGAGCCAGACATGGCCGTTCCAGTTTCCCCTGCCTTTGTTGACAATACTATCTGCCTATACTACCAGCTGTTACGGTCTCTGCTGAGGCCCAAGACAGGGCGGGACAGATAAGTCCCGTTAATGGTCAGGTGAACATTCATCAACGACGGTTAGTGTCCTCGGATTTCTGTGCAAGTAGTCTGGTGTAATTCGTCTACCAATGCATGACGGCGGCGATCGAAAGAGCTTCATGGAGCCAAAGTAGACAGTTTATTTCATAAAATTTGAGGTTGCTCATCCTGTTCGTTGAAATAACTTGGGCGAAAATGCTGTTTACTAGAAAAACAAGTTAAATTCAGATCAGTGTATCGAGGTAAAAAGGGAGCCAATGTGGGCCAAATTCAACGCACATCAAAACGTCACGTTTATGCGTATTGTACTATTTAACAGAAGAAATATAAGCTGAAAAGGTTTTAACACTCACCTTAGCGAACGGAAAGTTTCGTTTTGCCTTCATGAACATGAGGTAAATGCAAGTATGCGAAAGGAAATTGTTTTCAGGAAAATAAGAGCAGTTTCAGGACCAGCCTTGGCTTCGCCAGTGGCCACTGCCACCTGAGATAGCAACTCAGAGTTCTGTATAGAATAAACCACTCCTTCTGGTGACTCCTTCCTCCTACCTGCGGACTTCGACCTGATGATTGCAGTGATCTGAGTACAACCATTACTTAGACCGTTACAATACGCTACCATCGAGGCGGCGAGTTTTTTACAATTTGGTCAATTGAATTATTCCAATCTGCCCAACCCTCCTAATAAGGTAATATTACTTGATAAATCGCAATACATCTGTTCTTTAATACATATGGTTACTGTACTGGTGTCAGACCCTGGGGGACGCAGCTTGGGCTGCTTTTGCTTACCACAGATGGCCTTGTAAAAATTCTTGAATTTCATCAGTTAGGCAAGCGACTGTAGGCATCAGGTGGCTACCAGAGAGAAAATGCATCCTAGGACAGGCAGATATTTGGCGTGACAGTCAAAGCAGACGCTGGGGCCTAGGTGCCAGGTGGGATCAGAGTGAAATGACCTTCAAGCACAGACAGGCATTTGATGTGAC